AGAAGAAGAAGAAGAAGAAGAAGAAGAAGAAGAAGAAAAAGATGCGATCACTGGAACAACAATTTTATTTTCGTGACATTTCGGATTCTGTCGAGAATCCTTAATCATAGGTGATGGCAGGATGGTCTGAGCCATGCGCAGGTAGGGACCTACCTACCTACCATAATTTTCAAGCAATTGTCTAAAATAACACCTTTTTCCTTCTAAATGAATGACCAAACGAAGGATCACAGAAGTACTTGGGACGTGTGGAGCTTCATACTAATCAATATATAATGATTGAATAATTTACAGTTTAAAGCCCGGTGAAGACCCTTAGGTGATGTTAGTCTAGGTTAAAATTTGACAACACTTCTGTAGCGAGATATTATCAGCTCTCCATCCCATTGGATTGCCGTCCTTAAGTTAAAGAAGTGCTCTATAGTGCTTGTAGTCTATAAATTATACGAAGGAGTAAGCTGTTTTGATTGTTCAGTAGAATGCGTTCCTCGGGTATTCGTGGCATAATGCCTTCAACTAGGATGCATTAATCCGTATCCTGTTGCAGGCTGGCCGTCACAGCGTAGTCAGCATACGCCTATGAGCAGCGTTGACTTGATGGTCATATCGTAGATTCTTTTATGCTATCCTTATTCTAAGGGATTTGAAACACTAACAGTGGGCATTTGCATTGTATTTATAATCCAGTATGCTTTCGTACGGTGGTTACGATGTTTGCGACATACTAAGTGTAACTCAAAAGCAGGGGTTATTTGAGCGTATTTAAGCTTGCGTTAGCTGCAAACTCTGTTGCAGCATCATGGATGCTATTCGTAAATGGCAGTATGAGCCGCACTCCTTGCGGCTGTCACACAATGGCAGAATGCCGACGAAACACGTGTCTGGGCCTTTAGCTAGTACCTGGGCTGTTAGTATTGTAAGTTACAACATCAATATAAACTGTCATGACTATTTGTGCGACCATCCATCAGTAGTAATGATTGATTATTTTGTTTTTGTTGATGATTTTTAGTATTATACGCAGTGTTGTTTCTATTATTATGGTTGCATTATTTACTCTTGCTCGCTTATACCCCTCTTAATACTTACCTTTCTTGGACTTGTGAGTGTTTTGTACTTGTCGGGAATTTCGTCGAATTAATAAAATTTATATTTTTTCCTTCCAGTGGCCTTAATAGATCATTTCCTTGTTACAATCGCACTTAGAAACACAAACTAATCTGCTCCTGCATAGTGCGACTACAATTTCATTTATTCGAAGCACAACGCACACGTTTGTGCACGTATGTAGAAATTTCACAGCCCATTAGGACCCAGAAATTGCAATGGTAATTATTTTTGTTGTTCCCCAAATAATTTTAACAGTTGGTTTTAGTAATTGGCGACTTGCACATACCCGATCGGAAATATTACATCCATCCTGCTTTCAAAGCGCTACTTGCCCCAGGCAAAATCCAACACGTCTTATGCACAGGCAATTTGTGCAGTCGAAGTGTCTACGATCAGCTTAAGTGCATTTGTGCTGATGTCCACGTTGTTAAGGGCGAATTTGATGAAGTAAGTTGTGCCGTTCAGTTTTTCAGGGAATTTTTTTCATAAGCTTTCCTTTCCCGAGACCAAAATACTTACCGTTGGGCGATACAAAATTGGGCTGACTCATGGACATCAGGTTGTCCCATGGGGCGACCGCGAAAGTTTAGCTATGCTTCGACGGCAGCTCAACGTAAGCATCCTTATCTCTGGCCACACGCATATACCGGAAGCCTATGAATACGATGGCGGGATTTTTCTTAACCCCGGATCTGCCACCGGTGCTTTCAGCCCTTTGAAAGAGTAAGTGCTCAAATTTTTAATATGCAGAATATTTTCTTTGCCCGCACAGCTCAAGTCTCAGTAAGGATTTATATTGACTTTGAGAGTATTTGCCTTTGTCCTTATTGGTAAAAGTTTCGGCTGTTAGTATAGGGCGCATAATTGATTAGTTCTGGACTTATGTGGATATGATGTCTACTACTAATACTACTACAAACTCACATTTGGATTAGTTTACTCCGAAAACAATATATGAATTAAGTAACCAATGAGATTCATTTGAACTTTGGGAAGGCGTGTACAATTTTCGCAACATCAGATCTGTCACCAGCATTCAGAACCTGTTTGCGGTTGCAGCACATCAGTGCTAGGCTGTGAAATCTGTTTTCAATCTTTAGCCAGCCTATTAGCCTGAGGAAGATACGTTGTCACATGGCTGGTCCCCAAAAGGGAGGTAAGGTGTCAGGACAAAGAAGACCCCAATCTAAAGCCATGGTCGGTCGTCTCAATAGCAGGAACTATTAAGAGCGGTACTCAGTCTGTCAAGATTGTGGCCACGGTCTCGGCAGACATTTCAGAGAATGGCGCGGCCACCAATCCAGTCGATCAGCAAATGAACGTAAGTATTTAGACATATATACCGACCTACGAGGTCGATGTGTCTCTGGCTAAATCGAGCCCAAGGTGTGGCAAACGCCTGTAGGGGACATTTTGATGATACTTCCACTGACAGATGAGACTAAAACGAGCCCCAGTGATGAAATACACTGTCCCTTTACGAAAGGCCTTCATTGCTGTTGAATAGCGTTTAGGACCTTCCGCCTCATTAATACACACAAAAATGAGACGTTCTGTCCCTACTGACGTGTTGCTGCGTGGTCTTTTTTATATCTGTTAGTGATAACTAAACTGGGCTGTGCATTTTTGCTTCAAATTAACGAGCTCCTGTGCTGCCGTCTGGGTCGGCGCCAGATAACGCATCAGTGACCGAACTGACACTATATGCGCAAAGATAACTGATGTATGTCGTTTGGCTGTCACAAATCGTGTGGATAACGACGTAGAGTCACTCCTAGATCGAGAAGCAATGGTTTATGGTCGTTCGGTACGACAAACCATCGCCTTATAAAGAATTTTTCAAAAGCCTTGACATCTTCGAGTCCCTCGGGGACTCTTCTTTACCGAGTCAAGGTTACTACCTTACGCAGTAGAGGAGCCGTAATGCTGTCCTCAAGTAA